CAGGGTCGGTTCTTTTCCTCATTGTCTCGCATCCGGGTGAAGAACACCACTGTGGCGTGAACGACCCACACAATGCATAGTTTGTGGCGCTCGGGATCGCGGTGCGTGTGTGGCGGTGCTGGGCGCTTGCGGGGGGGAGGGGACGGGGGAGGGAGGGGGGGGGGAGGCAGAGGGCGGGGTTGTTGGAAAGAGGGCGAGGGAAAAAGGGAGTGGGGGAAAAAGAGTAAATGGGTGGGGGGAGAGAGGAAGAGAAAGGGAGAGAGAGGGGAGCGGGAGAAAAAAAGAGTACATGAGGGGAGAGAGGAAGATAAAAAGAGAAAATGAGAGGAGAAGAGAGATGGAGAGAGAGAGAGAAAAAAAAAAATCAGCGAGAGAGAAACATCGCGATGACTCCTTTTTCTTAATATTATTGTGATTATTTTCCTCGGCAATTTTCTCTCTCGAACCATTAGTGCTTCACGTTTCACTGCCCGGCGAGTCTTTACCACGAGCCAGTGAGGTGAGGAGGCGCAGTCTCGTGATTTTTACTCATTCAGTTATCAAGAATACGTGTTCATTCCAAGAAGGAGAAGAAGGAGAAGAAGGAGAAGGAGAAGGAGAAGAAGAAGGAGAAGAAGAAGGAGAAGAAGAAGAAGAAGGAGAAGAAGAAGGAGAAGAAGAAGGAGAAGAAGAAGAAGAAGAAGAAGAAGAAGAAGAAGAAGAAGAAGAAGAAGAAGAAGAAGAAGAAGAAGAAGATTAAGAAGAAGAAGGAAAAGAAGACGAAAAGAGAAGGAGGAGAAGACAAAGAAAAAGAGAACGGTAACTCGTGTCGTTTCTTTGGGGCGGAAATACCTTGTGAAGATCTTTCCTGAAATAGGATGTATTTACTGAACGAGGAAGAAGCACGTTGTGGCCTTCAGCGACTACCCACGTGAGCTGAATTCGAAAGAAAGGAGAGAGAAACATGGAGAAACGAAATACTTATCCATGTATACGTGTGTGTGTGTTTGTGTGTGTGTGTGTGTGTGTGTGTGTGTGTGTGTGTGTGTGTGTGTGTGTGTGTGTGTGTGTGTGTGTGTGTGTGTGTGTGTGTGTGTGTGTGAGAGAGAGAGAGAGAGAGTGAGTGAGTGAGTGAGTGAGTGAGTGAGTGAGTGGGGGCGGGGGCAGAGGCAGAGAGAGAAAGTGGGGGAAAGGGGGAGGGGGAAAAATGGATCAATATCTAATATAAAAAATGCCGGAGTTCCATATGTTATAACGGCTGTACTCGTCAGGTTATCACATGCTGAAATTAGTCGATATAAGTGCGTATTTCTCAAGCTACAATTCCCCGGTTTCTCTTCAAGCACATTTCCGGAAATGGCTTTCTCGTAAGATTAGATTTAAGAAGATTCACGTCTTTTCTTCGTTCTGATTCATGAATAGGTCGTTAAGAAAGAGAGATGAGGTAACATTTAAACTCCTTTGATTACTAAATATAACTGCTTGAGGGATTTTTTAAAAAGGGTAGTTTAAAAAGGTATTTCTGGCGGACAGAGACAATGTAGTCGAGAGTTTTCACCCAGTATTTCCCTCCTACCCTCACCCTACCCCTCCTCCCACCCTCACCTTACCTCTTCCTTCCTCCCCCCACCCTCCTCTCTCTTTCCTCTCCTCCCCCCACCCTCTTCTCTCTTTCCTCTCCTCCCCCCACCCTCCTTTATCTTTTCTCTCCTCCTCTCTGTCCTCCTCTGCCTTTCCTCTCCTCTCTTTCCTTCCATCCCTCTTCCCCCCCACTTCTTTCTTTCCTCGCCTCCCTCTATCTTTCCTCCCATCCATCCCTCCTCCCCCCTCCCCCCTGGCCCGTGGACCGGTGTGTTTCCCCGAGCGGCTCAGGTGGCGGCGTCCAGGTGCGGTCCAGAGGGAGGTCCAGATCGCCCGCGGTGGAGCTGGACACGTGAAATCCGCACCAAAAGTCTGCAGAGAGCGCGGCGCGGTACGATCCACAGCGCCGGTCGGGCTGGTCTTTAACCTTTGTTAGGCGAGGGCTTTTCATCGCGATTGTTGTCTTTTCTTCTCCTTTTTTTCCCCCTCTTTTTTATGTTCTTTTTTAATGTTTTTTTTTCTTGTAACACTCTTGGCTGAGAATTAGAACGCAGCGTTCGCTTGACTTTTAGGTTCAGGGGGAGGTTTTGTGTTATGTGGAGTATGAGGTGGATCGAAATAATGAATTTCTCTCTCTCTCTCTCTCTCTCTCTCTCTCTCTCTCTCTCTCTCTCTCTCTCTCTCTCTCTCTCTCTCTCTCTCTCTCTCTCTCTCTCTCTCCCTCCCTCTCTCTCCCCTCTCCCCTCTCCCCTCTCCCCTCCCTCTCACACTCACACTCGCCCGTTGTTCCTCGTAGCGCAGATCAACACTTGTAAATCATTGAGGCGAAGCGCACTTTTGCGATCGCTCACACCTGCTCTTGGAAAAGGATGCCAGATATTGCCGTTATTCATGGGGGGAGGGCAAGGCACCGAATGAATGGGGAGAAAGGAGAGAGAGA